CTATTAAAATAAAAAGAATCGATCAAATGAAAATTCTTCAAAGTAAAAACAAACATGATTAGAACGTAATTGTACGGATGTAATACCATGATTTGATGATGACGATGACAATGATGGTGTTGTTGTTGTTCTTATTAAAGTATTATTTTGTTGATGTGATCGGAGTGTACGAGTTTCTGTTTGTATTAATAGAGATTTCTGTGAATCTTGTTCAGATGATACTCGTGCTCGTTTTGCAGGTCCTAAATAATATATATTTTTAATTATTAGACAATCAAAATATTTTTATTTAGAATTTCTTCTACGACATTAATTGCTGGATGTGACAAAAATTTTTGCGATTCCTTTGTTGCGATAAACAGTTTATTTTATATGACTTTAGTGGACACTAACGTTTCACATCAGTTGGAAGGGTTGTTTTTTTTTTTTTTTTATTACTTTCTTTTAGTTGATTTTTAAATGGGTAATAGTGGCGGTCTACGAGATGTAGCTATTTCTCATGGCGAAAGTAGGGGAAAAAGTTCCAGGAATTGCAAAACTATTGATGAATAAAGTTTATTGAAGTACAATTAGTGTAAAATCAAAATCTAGAATGCGAAGAACTGACCATACAAAACGACTGTGATCTCCGAAGAACTTTTACGAAACAGTTGCTAAAGACTACAAAAGTAATAGTGAAACCAGCAAGTGAATATTCAATGGTGATTTAAACAAAAAATTCTATCGAAAAATTTTATATTCAAAAGTTAAAAGAAAAATCGAGAAAACAATAAAGTTGATATTACTTTTAGGATGAAAGTTATTGATGCTTTTCTTTGAAGAGTGAACTCAGTGTAAAAACATGATGATGAACATAGTTAATTCCAGTAGTACTCTGATGTAAATTTTGAAACATAACATATAAAGCAAATTTTTAGAACGATTTATATTTAAGTCAATGGTATTCAAATTGTTACCATTGTACATTTTACTTCTGAAGCCTGAATTCCAGCGTTTCAATTGCTTAGTTTTGAAAACTTATTTTGAATGCATCAAGGCTGTCGATATTTTTTAGAAGGGAGAGAAGATTGAAAGTACATCGTGACCCTTCTCTTTTCACATTAGATGACCTGCCATCAGATTGTCCCGAAAAACAAATAATGTTTCAAAATATGATTTCTATTCGAAGTTACCACGCATTTGTCAAAAATTGACAGAAAATCGGACATTTTGGAGAAGAAAGCGCCTCTACCCCTTCTAATCGAAAGAAACTAGTATGGATGAATATAGCATCAATCATAAATTTTGTTTCGACTCATTATATTTTTTACATGACAATTGATGTTATGTCTGAAATGATTAATATGTATTTGTTTTTAGAAAGGCCAAAAATATAATTGACAGTTGTACTTGTTTACCTTATTCGTATAAAAAAGAAAACACACGTTAATTACGCTTCTATACCACTGACCAGAAAATCATCCTCTTTAACCGAATCACGGCGGAGATGTTTGAATTTTTTTTGTAATCTTAGTGCTATCTATGGTCAACCCTGTATGAAGCCAATAGAAATGAAAAACATGTACACTGTAATAATCATACTGAACATAAATACAAATTATCTACATAGTTTCCAAAACTTTATTCAATTTTTTTTAATAGAAATATCATAAGTTTTTCTTCGAGTCTCGTCAGATGTTCCGAACTCGATTAAATGTTGACCCGTATGATTCGAATTTTTCTTTTCCATTAATTTACGTTTGAATACTAATATTCACAAAAAAAAAAAAAAAAGATTAGGTCATCTTAAATCATTTGAAATAAACAATGTTTTCTAAGACTCAAAATCAATTCAAACGTGATATAAATATTTTCGCTTGAATTTATTCGAATAATTATAAAAACTAACTTGTTTCATCAACGAATTGTTCAGCCGTTCGAACATTTCTTGTTTTCATTTGATCATTAAGACAAACAATTTCAGGTGCATTCGATCTTTTTGCTGATAAATGTTGTCTAGCTGAATGTTTACTAAATCTATTTTTATCCTTATTATTTTGTGTTGAATAATAATTATTCATTTGTTCAATTAATGTTGAACCACGATAAATCCAAAAACGTTGTTTTGTCTGACTTAATTCAATTAACATCATTGAACAATCAATTTGTATAACAATAGCTTGTACAAATAAATTTTTATTTGTTGAAGATGTATTTCGTATTTTAACAATTGTACCTTCTTTAGCACGTAACATCATACGTTCAGGATAAGATTTAAAATAACAATTAAGAAAATCATTTTCATATTCAAATTTTTGATCAAGACAAATATGAATATCAGATGATGAATAATAATTAGCTGATATATTTGTTTTATCATCAATAAAAAAAATTAAACAACGATAATTATTATTTTTTCCTGGTTCTTCACCAATTAAACCGAAATGATATTGTTCAGTTTGAGAATCGATAGTAAGTACACGTAATTTTAATGGTAAAATAATATTTTTTTCACATGATTGAGCAAAAAATAAATATTTTGTTGGAATATCATATGTTTTATTTGTTGTTTCATCAAGAATAGTAATTATTTTTGTATTAATTAAATCAGAAACAAATATATTTGTTATACCTTTTGATGGTAATTGTAAATTATAATCAGTTTTTATAAGAACAGATGTATGTAAATAAATCATATGTATCGGTTTATAATTAATATAAATTGGTTGTGCTGGTGTTGAACTTAAATGTATAATTGAATCATCAATAAAATGATGATTATTATTAAATGATAAAAAAAGTTTTTGTATTACATCATTATTTTTATTTAATTGTTTTGATATTTGTTCGATTTTAAAATGATTTAATTCTACAAATTCATGTATAATAGCATGAAAATAATGAATAGAAAAAAAATTTTTAAAATTCTCTTTAAGATAATTAATATAAGTTTGAAAAATTGATTTTGTATTTAATTCAAATTTAATTTTATTAGGAAAATTATTTTCCGAAAAAAATATATCATCTAATTCTAAATAACGTTTCATACATAATTTACTAAATGTTTCTAAACATTTATAATCTAATTTTTGTCGATTTATTGAAGAAAATAATAAACGATAATCCTCGGCATTTAATAAATCAAATAAACGAAGTAAAATCGATTCAATAGAAGATGATTTACGGAGTTTTTCTAAAATACAAAAAATTTATGTTTAATTTTTAAGATTTGAAAAAATAAAGATTTCTATAGAAAATTCTCTTAATTATACAATTCTTAAAAAAATCTTAACAAACTAGTAATGCAAAACCTTTCCATCGATATTTAACTTTAGGAATAGATTAATGGCGGGAATCACTTGAAGGGGGACTCAGCCCCAGTTTGAATTCGAAAATGAGGTATATTCTTTTCTTACGATATAGATTTGTCACATTTCTGGAGGGAACTGAGCCTTCTTCAGCTACTCCATCGAGCACCACCATTAGAAAAGATGAACATTTTCCATTAGTGATGTAACCAAACAATAGTCAGTTAAGAGAGAATCAAGCCATTCACAAAAACTTCGAGTCGCATCAGTTAAAAGTCTCTCACGAGTTATTCCTGGAAATATCAAGATAGAGCCTGTCGGTTTCAAACTTTGCAGACATGGGTCAACCCAACGGGCTCTATGTGTGCAACGAGAACCAAAATATTCTAGTTAAATTTTCTATGATTTCCATCAATCAAAGTAACATTCATCAGCTCAATTAATCAAAACACTCATGAGTAAGACTTTCGGGTTCAATAGGAACAAATACGGAAATTGTTCTCCATAAGCCAGAACAAGATTATGATAATAAAGACTAGAAAAGAAGTTACCGCGACCAAAACCAAAAGACCTTGGTAACCAAGATCTCTTGTTTAAATCCTAATTAAGCCACCAACCCTGGCCAAAGAATAGATGTTTTGGTTTCTACAGCTGATACCAGTTATTTCATGCATATTATTTTAACAACGAATCGTTGGTTAAAAAAAGGAAATATTTGACTGAGTTTTAATTTCCGTAATATAATCAGTTCTATTCTTGAACTCCATATATATACCGACGTGTTTTTTCACAAAAAATTAACACATGTTCATTCAGTACAATTCAATTCATAGAATATATCTGCAAATGAATTTGCACAAATCTTGCAATCTATCTTATTGAGCATAACGAATTCTTTTATTTACATACAAATGACATTAATAGATTAAAAAAAAATTCAATACTCCAACTTTGTTATAATAACTTCAATTTCAACGATCTTCTTTTTCAAATTTTTTTACTTACCTAAATATTGTCGTTCATCATCAAATGGTTTTAATACACTCTTAATATCCATTCTAAATCAAACAAAAATAAAAGCAATCCATCAATTCCATGATATTCTACATCGTCGAATTTTCTCGTTAACCTTACCGTAACGAACTAAATCGTTGTCCTTCATGTGGCATCTTGTTACCTTTATTTTTTTCTTTAGTTCATCCAAAAGATCTAAAAATTGGTTATATACCAAAATTGTCACAAGACGAATAGAAAAAACAAAACCTTTTCCTTTTTTGTTTCTTGTTTTTTTTAAATATCTTCATCTCGTTTGTCAACGAAAAAAAAAACTGTCAAACGAGTACAAAACAAAATGATAAATAGTTGTGGTTTTTTTTTGTTTAAACAGACGACAAAAACAATTACACATACGTCTAAGAAAAAAAAAAGAAAAACAAAACAAACAAACGATTAGTTAACATTCGTCATTGCTCAATTGTAAACGCAGCAAATATAATTTAAAAAAAAAAGAAAGATTGCGCGATGAATAAACAAAAGAAAAGAACAAAAAAAAACCAAACACTCCTTTTTAAATTTGTTTACATAATTATTTTACATATTAATCCGTAAAGAAAATTTTCTTTCGTGAGATTTGCGAACGAAAACTGTTCAAAAATGTTATTTAGTTTTTTTTTTTTCTCTCATATTAAAAAATAAAATAATAAACATTCATCTCTATGTATCAGATATTGGACTATAGAGAGGAGTATATTCATCATCAGGTAATTCACTTGGATAATAATGTTTCAGTCGAACATGCCATGCTATTGATGATACGGCTGATAACGTACGAAATTGATGAACAACATTACGTGGAATAAAATAAATATCCTAAACACAGAGAAAAACACACACACACACATATACAAAATTATTTGAAATGAATAAAATTTTTTTATTAGTTACATTATCATATAATGGTAAACGAACATAACGAATACCATCACGTCGTAATTGATTCAATTTACCTTCATCACACCATTGTAGACACTAGAAAATAAAATAAATCATTTAGGATATACAAATCATGAATAATTTGCTAGAATTCATCAGTAAGATTTTTTGGTAATTAATCAAAATTTTCATAAGTGGGAGGTGAAAAATGGAACGGGTTAACCTATTCCATTCTCTCTGTTCGAGACTTATGAGAGCAAACTAATAGTCAGTATGACCAAATTTTTTTATTACGATCACATTTCGATTTTATTATGCAGAGCTCGACCAGTCAAATGTTTTCTTCAGTAACAAGTCTTCTGTAGGAAATTGTGAATCAACGTTTTTTTGAATTCGTACTCGACAATCAATTAAAATTTGAACTCGTAACTTCATAAAAGTCTGACGTGAGGTACTTCTTATTTCATTTATCGAGTTCCGTTCTTATCACATAACAAAATTGATCTAATCATATGAATAACTCAATTGTAACTCGAAGGATTTTGTTAAATAAAAGGGAAAAAAACTCATTTTTAATAAAAAAAAATTTTCTCTCATACTCACAAAATAAAACAAGAAGGATCATATATCTTAAGTTTGACTTCATTTTGTTACCAAAAATATATATATATATATAAATCATGATTATGTTATCTGTGATTTATGCACGTCACTTATTGCATAGTATAATTTAATTATGTGTACTGAATGTATTCAAAAAAAAACCCGTAGTCGTGGGACATTTGCATAATGAATAGACGCTTAGAATATATGAGTATATTAACGCTTGTTACTCTTCAAGATCAAAGTCAAGTCACGATCATAGTGGTAATAACTGTGAATCAAGTTCGGTATAAATTACAAATTAACTATTAATAAGGATTCATATAAATTATACTCTTATCTTTGCTTCCATGTTATGTGCATGTGTGCCATGATAAAAAAAAAACTTGGAAAAAGTCTTCGTTTTGGATTTACAAGAAGTTCTAATTTTTGACATTATAGAACTTAACCTTTCAAAGCTAATCGAAAGCTAAATATTATTAATCATATATTCACATTCTGACCTATATTCTCTAATATCAATAACGGTTGAATGACATTATTATAAGGCGATGATATGTAATCATAGCAATCAAACAATATTGCCTTAAGCCTCTCGATCGATTTGAAGTGTAGATATATGTATCAAATTAGAATCATTAAAATCTAAGTCTAATTTTTAGAATTTAAAGCTGAAAATCTACTTCTATTGTATTAGTTTATTCTAATTAGATAAATAATATGAATAAATATACTCGATCACATACAAACTATATATAAGTATTGTTCAAATAGAACAATATTTATCTTACTTGTGATGTAGGTGGTTCATATAAATCAAGTTTCAATTTTTCGACAACTTTTTCGAAATCTTCTGCATGAAAACAAACAACATCTTTCACCATTCGATTAATTGTTGCTCTTTAAAAAAAGAAAAGAAACAAATAAAAATAAAATAATTTTCTTTTCGAACAACTAACGGTGTTCCACAATGTACAGCTTTTAAAATTCCAACAGCAGCTGTCGTTTCAACACCATCTCCATCACAATGATCGCTATGTGCTTTTGTTCTATCTTCAACTAATACTTCTCTTGGATCTGTTCCACGTCCAGTAAATGCTAAATTTCTTAATTCATTAGTCATACGTTTTTTTGGATGACAAATTTTATGTTCAGCTGTTGGAACATATTGTTCACCTGGTCGAACCCATAAAATAGGTCCATCATTTGATTCTGTTCGAGATTTCATTTTAGTTGATGATAATTGTCCCCATGGCATAACATGTTGTAAAAATGGATTTTCTTCTAATTTATCAATAAATGCTGGAAAATAATCTCCTGTATTATAAATAAATAATTTTAATGAAAATTTGCTTCACTATCATTTTATTTAATGTTTCAGAAATACAATAAAAAAGTAATTCATATTTTATATTGATATATGATCTATCATCACATATCAATGCCACTCATGGTCGGTAATAGTTTCTGACTGATGTTTGTCATAGCCATGGTCTCTGACAGACTTTTGTGGTGTGCCCGTTGACTAGCGTCTATCAAGGCTTTTGACTGATATCTGTCACAGCCTATAGCGCCCTCTGACTAATGTATGTCATGGGCTATGACGCCCTCTAACTATCATCTATCATAGTATATTTTTAACCCTTTGCTTTAATATTTGTATTTAGACTTGGAAGTCAAAGAATTAAATTGTATTTCAATAAAAAAAATATATAAATTTTCTTACCACATTCTTCTTTGCCAGTTACTTTTCCAACTAATGATATACTCAATAATGGTCCATAACGAAATGTTCCATTTGAATATGTTTGTACAATACGATTTCTATATTCTCCCATAGTTGTTGTTAAAACTTCTTTTGAATTAATTATATTTGATGTTTTAACAATCATTTTAGGATATGATAAACTAAAATAATCAACTAAATCAGGTAAATATCTTGCACCATCATGTAAAACACCAATTGAATATTTTGCACGTTGATTTATTTCACCATAAACAAGATTAAAAAAATAATTAACAAATAAATTAGCATTTTCATTTGATAAACGTAAAAATTCATTATAATATGTACGTATTAAACTTGCACCACCATTTGGATGTTCTTCTGTATGAACTAATGTTTGAAATAATTGTAAACGATCATTATTACTATTTGTTAATGAAAAATCTATATATGGTGATGAAAGTTTTTGTTGTTGATCATATAAATTATTAGGTGAAGATATTGATGATGATGGTGATGATAATGATGATGATGGTAATGAACATCTATCTGATATTCCATCGTATTGCGTATGAGTTGTTTTTAAATTATATAAATAAACTTGAGAATCATTTGGACAGTTAAGATCTGTTGTTTGAGTTTCTTGTTCTTCTTTACGAATTGTTTGTGTACTATTTTCACATAATGGTTGATCAATAAAATCTGTATATGTTGATTTATCTGATTTAATTAAACAATTTGTTTGTATTGATTGATGAAATACTTCAATTATATCATCATATGTCTGACATTCACTTGTTTGATATTGTTTGGAAGAAGATAATGATGAATATTGATATTTATATTCACCTATTGGTAAATCATCCATAGTTGTTGTTGAATGATCAGATGTTTGTATTGTTATTAATTCAGTACTTAAATTACGTTTTATTGTTGCTGAACGTTTATCAATAGATGAATCAAGATGATTAATATTTGATGATGAGTAATGATCATTTATCGGATTATTTTTTTGTTTTAAACGAGATGATGAACGAGTTTGTACAGGAGGATTTGAAGATTCTTCAAAATGAAAAGAAAAAAAACAACATTTTTTTTTCAATCAATTTTAATTCAAAACTAAACTAATTATACTAGAACGATCTGTTGTAATGTTGAATAGAACTAGTATTTTATCTAACAAGAGGGCAGTATTCGTCCGGAACAAAAAAAATCTGAATACAATACTTTTATGCAATGAAAATTTTCAAAAACTTATCATTTTGATAATATAGTATTTTCGTAGACACACAAAAGAAGAATTCTATATAGAACATATTATCAGAAAAAAATCAATAAATTCTATTGATTACATTATGTTGTCCTTAATAAATTATTTCATATAAATCTACTATTTATTATAATATATTCTGAATTTAAAAAAAAAAAAGATCAAAGAAATTGGAATAATTTTTATGCGATATAATATTATATGCACATCTTTCAGAGAGAAATCTAATAGTAAGCATATTTTCAAGTATTGCAAAAGTTAGACAGAGATTTGGACAAGATGATCTCGGTTCCGTCCGAACCAAAAACAACTAGTATCATTCACGTCCTGTATACATCCGTGCAAAAATTGAAAATAATTCATTATTACCTATCAAGATGAGAAAACTTCTACTACGTCAAACTTTCCCAGCTCCAATCTCGGAATCATCGCAACTTCCAACACAAAAAAAAAACTGACTCGTAAATATTTTAATATCTTGAAAAGGATTCATTCTTCTAACTGATTTTCACTTTGTCAGGGATTTCGATAGTTTTTAGTAGTAAGACAGGTACAAAGAAATCGACAGACAGTCGAATGCAGTTCATCTAGTAAGTGTTTGACAAAAAGCTGTCTTCTCAAATGTTACAGACACGACATAGAAAGACGGGGGGGGGGGGGCAGTTGTCCAGCTCACATCGAGATTTGTGTTACTAGTTTTACAATTTTAACAAGAAATTGTTATAATAAAAGTATTCCACTCGCTATTTTAAAGCTCGATTTAAATGAAATTTTTAAAACTATGCCTGATGAGAGAACCTCTTTAGCTGTTCAATCGTTTTTGCCTATAGATACTACATTGTGTTCTAATAAAAACTTTAAAAGAATTTCAGTTCCTATTGAGATTTGACTAAGCTATCGACTTTTCTTCTAGAGAGTTCAAGTTTTCTGGAAAACTCATATTTTGATCTGAAATTTTGTTCATGAACAGAACTCAACTAGATTAGTTTCCATGAAAAAAATTCAGAAATTTTGAGTAAAATTTCTTTAAGACACAAGACTTTCAACATATAGACCCTTTTCAATGGATAGTATAAACAAAATATGATTTTTCCGAAAAGCTGAAGCTTGTAGAAAAAAAAAATCTGATAGCCTAGTCAAATCTCAATAGGAATATATATTCTTTTAAGAGTTTTATTAGAACACTATTTAATATTTGTAGGCAAAAAAGAAATCATTGAAATTGGAAAGAGGCAGTTGAAGAGGTTCGTTCGTGAGAAGTTGAAGAGGTAAGTTCAAAAAATAAGAAACTTTTCTACGGATAGATGATTGAACATTAAAGACTTACTATTATTATTTGTTTGTTGTTTAATTGCTTTTGTAGTTAATTTCGTTCGTTTTTTTTCTTGTTGTTCATTTGGAGATTTACGTTTATTTCCATTTGTTTTCGTTGTTTGTTTTTTTAATGTATTTTCATCATATATATTTATATGATTATCAATAATTGTGTTTGGAAGATTATATATTGATGAAGATGTATTATATTGATCAGTTTCAATTAATGATGTACGTCTTGTTGATATAAGACGACGCGAAAATTTATTATTTGTTACTTCATTTGAATTAAAAAATTTTCTTGAAATTATTCTTGTTGATGTTTGTTGTTCATTAGAATCATTTGATTGTTGTTGTGATAAAAGATTTGTTGTTGGATGTATTAATACTGTATCATTTGATGATGGTGAACAAACACGTCGAATATGTAATTTAATTGATGCATGTTCATTAGGTACATCAATTGAATGTATGGTTGTTGTTGTTGTTGTTGTTGATGATGTCGAACAATTTGATGTTAATATATTATATGAAGATGTTTGAGCTTGTTGATTATTTGTTTTACATTTAATTATTTTTGTTTTAACTGTTTGTTGTTCATCATCATCATTATCATTTATTGTATCATGAATATTATTCGACATTGAATTATTTTTATTATTATTTAAATCGTTGATATGTTCATTATTTATAGAAGATGTCTAAATAGATAGAATTGGTGAAAACAAGAGAAAAAAATTAATCATACCAAGAAAAAAAACAAAAAATAAAAACCTTTGTTTCATCGGCTAGCGGAATAATATTACTTATATCAGTCATTAGTTCATTTGTATCTGAAATTTTTTAAATTTTTATTTCATAATTTGTTTTTTGTTTTTATTTTTGTTTGATAAGATTTTTTTTTTGATACTGATGTTTCAATTGAAAAAAACATACATAATAGTCTTGATCGGACAGAAGGGAAACAGAGGAGAGAAAGAGAGAGAGAGCGAGAGAGAGAGAGAGAAGAGTCTTTTATAAACAATTATAGGTATTTTAGATAACAACCAATTGACAAATGAGCACCATGATGAATCATAAAGAAACTCTAGAATTGATTAAGTTAATTTTAAAAAAATGAATAAAATGGTTTTTATTTTTAGAATAAAATTTATTTCGACATATTTTTGTTGTATAATTAAAAGTATTTTGTTTAGATAGATGTCGGTTGTAATCATTCAATGGTTATTATATAAATTGAAATTCTCATAAACTAATCAAAAGAATAAATTTTCTAATTGATTTCTTGTTAAACGAACAAAATAAAAAACGAACGATCATAATTAGTACTCTTTTTGTTTTCTATACAAAAGAACGAAACGAAGATTCTTTTGCTTTTAACATTTGCTTCTTTTTTGTTCTTTTCTCTGTTTTTTTTCCTGTACAATAACTATACAGACGGTTAGAAATAAAGAATAGTAAGAAAAAAAAAAGAATCAAAGACGAGTAACTCTTCTTCGTCCTTTTCTGTGCCATGATACATACACATTTGCAAAACGTACATAACCTTCCTATTAGCAATTCTTATAGTCGCTCACGCACTTGCTTCTCATGAAGTATGTCAAAAAAAAAAAGAACGGAAAAAATAATAAATGTCAATGACGGCTTCGACCGTTTTTCTATTTCAATCATTTAATAAGAACGAATAAAAAAAGTTAAATCACCTTTTTTTCTCTTTTCTTCTATTCTTAATACAATAATGACATTCCTCATATATTTCTTGTTCTTACTAATAACTATTGTTCAATTAACAATTGCTGAACCATGGACAGTAACATCAACTAATTGTTTATGGCATAGACATACTTCCAATAATCGTGTAGCTAGTAGAATTGATTTACGAGATATACGTAATCAAATTTTCAAGTAAGTTAAAATTATTATTTTTTTTTTTGATTTTATTCATAAATTTACAAATCAATAGTTTTTCATTGAATGAATCAATTTATTATTTTAATCCATGTAAAACATTTAATTATCCAATTGGTGATGATCCATACTCAGTTCAAGGTGAACAATGCCATAATGTTTTAGGTTGTAAACGCATACAACTAAGTGAAGATTCTTATAAATATTATACAGTTGCTATTAAATTAAATTCAACTGTATTACCACCACGAACACCATTAACTATTCGATATTATGGAATAAAGTAGAACAAAAAACACTGTTTAATTTTTCTATTGAAAAAGAAACCATTTTGTTGTTGTTTTTTTTTTGAGGTCATATGCAAATAAAACAATGCAAGTTCGATATGAATGTAATCGACATATACATGGTGCGCAATTTAAATTTGTTAAATATCAATCTAATCAAATACCGGTAGGATTATATTTAGATATTAGTTTGATTAAAGAAATACACATCACTATTGATATTACATATAGGTTTTCGCCTTGATTCATCGTTGTTGTTGTCCAAATGTTTGTGGAGGTTCTTGTTATCATTTTGACAAATAATTTTCATTTCTTTTCTTATCTCTTTTTTTAAAATTTGAATCAATAGGCAATACATTTCCCAAAGTACTTTTACTTATTCTTCTTTTGGTAATCTTATTTATTATTGGCACAGCTGTATGGATATTTTTTCAATGTCGTCGACATTATCCCGAACGAAATGCTTATGGTGCAATAGCTTCTAGTAAATATAACTATTTTGGTTTTTATATAAAATATTTTATTATTTATACAAAAAAAAATAATTATTAATAGCAGATATGAATATACATGCATTGGAACCATCAGAAGTACTTAAATCTAATGCAGTTGAAATGAATCCTCGAGGTGGAAGTAGAAAACGTACTCGTAGTAAATCCATAGTTACTGTTCTTGAAAATTTCATAATCTCATCTGAAGATTTTAAAATTATCAAACGGTAAAAATAAAAAAGATATATCTACAAAAAGAAAAAAATTGATTTTTCCTTTCTTTATTTTTTTTTCTAGGTTGGGTGTTGGTGAATTAGGTGGAGAAGTAAGTGAAGGACGATGGAATGATAAATTAATTGCTGTTAAAACATTACGTATTGGTGTTCATCCAGGAAAATTTTCTCCCAATGATAAAACATATCTTGAAAATGAAATGCATTTATTAAGTCAAATACGTCATAAAAATTTAACTGCAATTATTGGTATTTGTTTTGATATTGATATTTATCCCCGAATACTTTTATCATTTTCTGAACATGGTACAATTATTGATTTTATCCAATGTTTTCCAACTAAAGTTGATTGGCCATTAAGAATAACATGGTGTATACATACATCTGATGCGCTCGAATATTTACATCAATCAAAAATAATTCATAGAAATTTAAAATCATCAAATGTTCTTATTGGTGTTGATTTACGTGCACATATTTCTGATTATGGTCTTATATCAATTCTTCAACCACTTCGAGAAGCATGTGATAGTGAACGGTGTCTTTGTAAATTAAGTCATCCAGCTTTACCGGTGTCTATTCGTTGGTCATCACCAGAAATTTTATCAGATCCATCGGATAATTCAAGATTTGATTATTCATGTGATGTCTATTCATTTGGTGTTTGTCTTTGGGAACAAATACGTTTAGACCAACCTTATGCTGATATAAAAGATGAAGCTGAAGTTAGTCGAATGATTGTGGATGGGTATCGGTTAACACCATTTGAAGAAACAGGAACTATTGTTATGGCTGAATATAATCAATTAATGAACGATTGTTGGGCAAAGAATTCCAATGACCGACCAACATTTGAACGTATTGGACAAATTTTACGAGATATGTTACCAAAAGCAAAACAATTTCGCAAAATGTCTATGAAAAGATTGTCATCAATGACTAATACAAATGAAATACAAGAAGAATATCGATTTTTAGCAAGACTTGATTCTAAAATGTCTACAGATACAGTAAAATCATCTTGTCCACGTGTTTGACACGTAGAAATGTGAAATACTTAGTAGATTTATACATATGAAATATACATCTGATTAAAAATAATAATAAAACGACAACGAATACTTTTCCTTATCATCTTCTCGATTTCGATTATAAAATATTTGAGAAAAATAAAATTAATAGTAATAATGCATCTAACCGAAAAGTAATAGAATATCTTGCGAAAACAAATTAGATGATATTCGAGTGAAACTCAAATATGGAATGCGGGGCGAAGTAGATCTGGGCAAGTATGATTATGTACTCGTACTCATAGTCGATAAAATCCATACTTGCCCAACTCTTCTGATGCGAAACAAGACATGTCAAGTTTCGAAATAAACGATATCTCATAAAAATGAATTATTGATTTTACGATTTGTCGGAAATCGATTTAGTTCAAGTGATATTAGTCAATGTATCACCAAACTTAAGATCACGAGATATTTATTATAAATATTCAATTAATGAGAGAAATCTTCAAGCCGATAAATCGCTACTGGGGTCGAGTCTATGTTCCTTATGTACATCCAAATGAGCTATGGGAATCTTGGAAAAAATACATGCCCTTAGCTTATTACTAAGGAGATTGTTATATTTTTACGTTATTTATTTTTAATGATTGATGTGGTCCCCCTCAGGAATACTAGAAAAACAGATTTTTGACTTGAAACTTCGCACAGAGATTGATATTAAAGAATATCGTTTATTGTGAAACTGTTAAGTCTTTTGATTTGCTTGTATCCTAAAATATGAACATCGAATCTGCTAGTATATTAATTATATGATCGATTTAAAAGATACACTTTTACCATAGCTACATCTTAAGATAGAAACAATGAAAAAATCTGAAACTTTCACCACTAACTATGGAGTCTACATAATGCATATGGTCTCAACTCAAAAGCGACTTTTCACTTGACGGACTTGCCTTGTAAGTATAAAAAATAAAAGACATTTGCTTGTTTAAAAGAAAACTTAGTTGTGTTGTATCTATTATGGTATGAAGAACAAAGAAAAAATAAATCCCATTTATTTCGTTATTTACTTCAAAATTGATTAGCGCTTGTATTTTATAAAATTAACAACAATACATTTTCAAGTGAAGATTAATGTTTAGTTTCAAACCTAGTCTATGTTTAATTTTGTCTGAGATTAAAAAATGATTCAAAAGACTTACTTAGGTTCTTTTATTTTATAGATAAAAATATTTTCAGTAAAAACAAATAGGATACATGTATAAACTACGAACATTGCCAAAGCTGTAAAAAAAACATCGAGTCCAAAACGAGTATCCTATCGACCTCCATTCTGGGATGCGCTTTTCTTTTCAGCTGAATTATAGCCTTCTTTTTGTCGACACGTACATCCCCAACTAACTTGATTTTAATCGTAAAAAATAACGATAACTACTTTCACGTATAATTAAAATTCGAAGTAACAATGAGTGTCCATGTATACAAAAAAGAATATATTCCTGTTGAAAGCCAAAAGCACAGCTCAGAATGAATGTCCATATCGTATTCGTTTCGAATTCTATCTCTTTTTGTAACAGTGATGATGCCCGTAAGTATGCGCAATCTCTATACGTACCCAAAATACTATCAAATTTGTTGTAATAAAATGAAAAATTCTATATAAAGAATTTTGAATCTTAAACTATTGAAAAATAAATTTCAATAACTAATTTTATTCATTTAATAGTACGAGAACATTAAGATGAACCTGGTGATATAACAAAAGAAAAAGCGATAATAAACTGTACAACGTACAAATGATCCTGTTTTAGTTGAAGATATATCTCTAAATTTTAATGCTTTACATAATCTTTCATGTTCATATATTAAATAGTTTTAGATAAA